GAGGGACCAACAGAGTTGGCATTATGCCATTTCAACTCTGTGACAGCAGAGCTTCTTAGAGGTCTCTCAAACCTTTCACTCAGAAAGTGGCACATTAACTATCCTCAATGAGGACCGGTCTCTTAGTAATAGTTAATAGGTTTCACTATTAAACCTCAATCAAAAATGGTCATTTTAACCAGAATGTCCAACTGTTCATTCATGATGGAAGATAATTCACATCATTCATCCTTTACCTCCTTCCCAATGGTAAATACATATTTACCCTGGCATCGTGAAATAGGTATTTGATTTTCTTAGCCTCCCTGAAGTGTAACTCATCATGCCTTGCTCTTTTTGGATGTCAGGTCTTTGGTCTGTTAAGGGCTTTCTGGTATTAGGGACACAGCTTCCGGGTTCCCATTGTTACCCTAGGCCCCTCCTAGCAGAAGTATTTCATAGTGTTCCCAGAACTTCCAAGCCCTCATTTATAGACTTGGGAGTTATTGGCTATTTTCTCTCTCTACACTTCATCATGAAAAGTTCAGAGGCTTTACATAGCCTCTTCCATAAAGACACCTGCTGTTGCCATTATGACCTTTTCTTTGGTGGCATGTTGAAAGTGGAACTTCTTTCTGAGGCTTGTGGTCTTCTGGTCTACAGCCTGGGCAGAAGTTCCAGATATTCTTGGACACATTTTTCATCTATCTGGAATTTCTATCACCTCCTACAAAGGCAACTCAGTGGGTGGTAGGAATAAGGTGCTAAGTAACTTTTTTTTGGAATTTAGGTAGCATCAGAACCAACTGCCATGCTCTCATATGCATGAGCACCTCTCCCCCTCATTGTACATCCGGCACTGAGGGTAGGTCCTGGCACATTGAAGGTGTCCAATAAATAAAATGCACAACAAAAAGATTTTTCCTTTTTATGTAAATATTACAGGTTCATTGCAAAGAAAAAAATTAAGGACACAGAAAAGAAAGTAAAAAACAAACAAAAAATCTGATACTCCACTAAAACAGAAATAACCATCATAAATTTTTTGGAGACCATCCTTTCATTCATCTCTCTCAAAAGTTCACATAAATACATAATATTACATATATAGTTTCATACCATACATGCAGCAATTACATTTTTCTGTTTTTATAGTCTCCCCTCCCCTTATTGCTAATTCTCCTTTTCTCACTCCCCTCAAGGTAATCAATATTAACAGCCTGGTGTATATTCTTCCATACCTGTCTCCAGGTGCATCTAACCACACACACATAAATACAAAAGAAATGGATGTGATTATTTTAACAAAAATGATATATTGTATATATACATTTCTGTTATAAAGCAATTATTTATCAATACATTGTGGAAATACAGTGAAATCAGCTAGTATAGATATAGTTCATTTTTAAAATTACTCTCACACTGTTCCATAATAAGGATATGTCAGAATTTATCTAACCATTTCTCTATTAATAGGCATTCATTTGTTTGCAGTTGGGGCTTTGCCCCCTTCTACAAACAATACTTCAACAAACATGTTTATTTATATTCTTATGCATTGATGCTGCTTTTATTTCTATGGGACAGATCCCAAAAGTGAGACTGCTGGGTCTAAGAGTATATATGTTTTAAACTTTTCAATATATATTATTGGACTGCTGGTGGAAGTATGTTATATAACCTTTAGGTAATAGTACATGGTTTCCCAAACCCCAATAGCAAAAGATCTCTTAATTTCTGCCAAATCCATGAAAGGAAAGTTTCATCTCACTGAGCATTTCAATTTGCATTTCCCTGAGTAATTTTGAGGTTCAAAATCTTTTCATAGGATAATGATCACCTACAGTTGCTCTCCTATGAAGAACCATCCAGTCCAGAGGAATTAAAGACTTAAGTGTAAAAAATAAAATCATAAA